TTCCACCAGAGAAGGTAATTTTTATCAAGTTAAATAGAGTAACCATTTCGTGACAGGTATATGCAAAATATTTACAAGAAATATATTAGCATTAAGTTTTTGTATAGTTCTTGTAGTGACAAAACATGGTGCATCAGGCAAATACCTAAATGTAGTACATATACATTTTCTGGCTATTGTGTTTTCATTTGAACCCATCCCCCTCTTCAAGTGGTCTCAAGTTTCAAAAACGCTATTAACTGAATGTTTACATTTTCAAAAACTCATTTTCAGTGGTCTTCATATGTTTACCTGCTGATTCTGTAAATGTATAACACTAATCTTACTCTTCTATTGCAAGAATGCGTGGCTGCTACATTACGTTGTTTGTTTTCAGGGTTAGGGGAGGGGTATTTGCCTAATGAGTAATGACCCATGTTTCTATCATTACAAGAACTATTACAGAGTTGGAATTTCCTATTATGATAGTATTACAAGTGAACTAATTATGCTTGGTTTTTGTTAAATTAAGGGTAACGGTCGGTGATCCATGACAATTTATAGTTCAAAAGTAAATCGTCTCTATTTCTTTCTTTCTTTTGGTTTGGGGTTCTTGATATGAACTTACTCCTTATTAGAAAGAATAAAAACAGAATTTCAGGACATAGCAGAAGGAGCAAGAGGACTCTTTTCAGTACAACTTACAATCACAGCTTAAACTAATCTCAGCTGACTTTCTGACCATATTTAGACCGTATTACCAGTCTCATCACTACCATGAAAAGAAGGAACTAAATTCTAACTAGAGGGTGGGTAAACTTATATGGTGTTTAGAAGAATGTAGTTAGAGGGTGGGTGGTGCATCGAACATTTTATCATAATATTTTCATTGACCTTATTACATAATGCTSTAAATGATGGTCRTGGTCCATTCTCAAGAATAAAAATCTGAAATTGTTTTCCATTATTTTGTTGTATGTAAATTCTCTATTATGAAGTTCAACTGGGTGTAGGGGTGTGGGGGTGTGTGTATAATGTGGAAGTCCTATAAGTTAGAGGTTGAGTTTAAGTTGGACAGGAGCTTTGGTATGTATATGGATACATTAGAGAATGCGAAACAATTAATCAACAATCATTCTTGTTCCTACTATTGCTCCTGTCCAAGAACCTACTGTTATATATGCTGGACAAAATAGTTATAAGCTGGACAAACCTGTTAAAAGTTACCAGATGTTAAATGTTAAAGGTCAACATTTCTTTTAACYGGTTRTGTTTGTGTGCCTACAGTTTCAACAGCAACTGGTTCTTTTAAGTGTTTAAACTTTGAAGATTTGGATGAAAACTTCAAATGAATAGCATGCTTTACATACATGTAAAGT